GCCTTGTTTCAGTTTAGAAAGATTCTCAATCATTCAGTTGATGCATTCTTATATTTTCTGTTAAATTTTTCCCAAAATATAGGTACTGGACTTTGTAAATTTCCATGTCCTTTTTTGTTTCTCATTTTTTAAAAATTTATGCATCTAGAGTTGTTCTTTCTGACCTTTATTAAATTTATTGCAGCAGCAATTTTTTTTTGTATTTCTTAGGAGTTCTTACCTAATTGTTTTCTTTATTTTGCAGTTTCAAATCTCAGGCTAAAATCAGTATTTCATTTTCTTCTGTTATTACATGAGTTTTCCCAGTCAGGATTCAATTCTATCTCTTAGTCCTTATTATGCTGATAGTTTTCTTCATGTGACTAGGTTATCAGTTTCCATTTAAGAATGAGATGGTTTTATTACCATAGGTAAATGCCAGGGGAGTCCTTTGTATATTTTCACTGTAGGTCTGTTTCCCTAAATGGAAAGGGTTACCAGGTACCTGTATGCCTGGGAAGGGCTGGCAAGTCAAGGAGAGATTCTCCAAATTCCAAAAAAAAGTTTTAATTTAGACTGCCAGCTTTTCATTCTAGGTGCTGTAGTTCTTTGTAAACTGATTTTTTTTTCAACATTAAAAAATTATTACATTGATGTTTAAAACTTCAAACAGTACAAATAACACTAAATCTTCCTTTCACCAGAACAACCAATACCAGTCCCTTCCCAGAATAAGCATTTATCAGTTGGGTGTCTGTTGAGAACTTTCACTAAGCATTTGAATAATTCTACCAATGCATTAGCTATAAAATGCATACTTTAAAATATATAATAGTATATGCCAAAATTTTTGCATTTTCAACCAATAACTCCTTTAAAATGCATACTTTAAAATATATAATAGTATATGCCAAAATTTTTGCATTTTCAACCAATAACTCCTTTAGTCAAATTTGTATCAATGTTATCAACCCATTCTTTTAAACTTCTGCATAGAACTTCTAGTTATTACTTTAATGACAGAAATGTAGGTTGTTTTCAGTGTTTCATATACTAACTAAACCCTACAATGAAGCTATAGTGAGCATCTTAAAAACTTCACTGCCTCTAAAGTAGCTGTGATGAGAAATCCTCTCTCTATACCACTACCAATATTTGCTGTTATATTGTCTAAATTTTAATCTCTCCACCTGTGATCCCAGCATTTTGGGATGCTGAGGGAAGAGGATCACTTGAGCCCAGGAATTTGAGACCAGCCTCAGCAACAAAGTGAAACCTCATCTCTCCAAAATAAATAAATAATAAATGAGCAAATCTGCATCACTTAATACTAATGAGGTTAGCAGAGACATATTTATTTCATCCATAATTTGCCCATACTCATCTTTGCCCATTTATATGCTTCCTTAGTTGTCCTTTACTTATTGACTTGTATGTATTTTTGAATCTGTCCCTTATGTTACAAACATGTTTCTTCCTTCCTGTTGCTTATCTTTTACCTTTCTTTAAAAGCACACCAATTTTTGTGGTTGTTGAGACGGAATTTTGCTCGTTGCCCAGGCTGGAGTGCAACAGCACAATCTCAGCTCACTGCATCCTCTGCCTCCCAGGTTCAAGCCATTCTCCTGCCTCAGCCTCCCAAGTGGCTGGGATTACAGGCATGCAACACCACACCTAGCTAATTTTGCATTTCTAGTAGAGACAGGGTTTCACCTTGTTGGTAAGGCTGGTCTCAAACTCCTGACCTCAGATGATCTACCTGCCTTCGCCTTCCAAAGTGCTGGGATTACAGGTGTGAGGCACCATGCCTGGCCAAAAGCACAGTTAATTTTTGACACAGTCAATTTCATCAATATTTTCCTTTATGGTATCTGAATATTTTAGAAAGACATTTCTGACACCAAAGTCATTAACATATCCTGCTATATTTTCTTCTAATACTTTTCCTTTAGTAATTTAATTTTGATTTTTATTCATTTAGAACTTATATTTGTGAATGGTATGAAATAAGGATCCCATTCAATTTACTTACACAAGAGGGGAGAGTGAGGAGGCTTTTGGCAAGGGCTACTAACATAACTTTCACATAGAAAGGTTTTAACAGTCTTTTCATCATGTCTTCTTAGAAGCCACAGCTTGCACATAAGCCAACTCCAAGCCTTAACTTCTCTAGGGATCCTTGAGCACACTAGATCCCATTTTAAAAACCATTCAGTCATTCACATATAACATGCAGCAGCTTCTGCTACATTTCACGAATGAACACTCTTCTGTTTTGTCTTTTACAAAATTATTTCATCCACTCAAAAGCCTCACTTTAAAAAATACATATATCTTTTAAATCATTGTATATATATAATGGGATCTAAAGGGAAAGACAACATTGTGTTCCAAGTTTTGAACTTCAAAATAAAATCCTACTTTTCTCAATTAAAATTACGAAGTTGCCAAACTGCCTACCCGAAAGTTTGTACAAACTCATGCTCTTTTAAATTAGTGCATAGTATCTCCTTTCCTATGCTTTCAATGCAAACTTTTATTAATCTGATATTGAAAAAATAGCATTTCATTGGCCTAAACTGTATTTCTTCTGATCGTAGGGAGATTTAGTACTTACCACATATTTATTGGTCACCTATTTGATACCTCTTCATGTCCTTTGACTATGAGCTGGGGAAAAAGTGTCATTTCCTAAGGGATTTTTATGAGCAATTTTATGTTAAGGATATGAATTCCATAGTTTATATGTGCTGCATAATTTTCTCCCATTTGTAGCTTTAAAAATATTTTATCTGGCCAGGCTCAGTGGCTCATGCCTGTAATCCCAGCACTTTGGGAGGCCGAGGCGGGTGGATCACGAGGTCAAGAGATCGAGACCATGCCAGCCAACATGGTAAAACCCGGTCTCTACTAAAAGTACAAAAAATTAGCCAGGCATGGTGGTGCATGCCTGTAGTCCCAGCTACTCGGGAGGCTGAGGCAGGAGAATCGCTTGAAACTGGAAAATGGAAGTTGCGGTGAGCCGGGATTGTGCCACTGCACTTCAGCCTGGTGATAGAGCAAGACTGTTTCAATAAAATAAATAAAATTAAAATTTATCTTTGTTTATACTATGTAAAGTTATTATGCAGTCTAACCTGTGACTTGCTAGCAGGAGGTGGGGAGGCTTCTGAGTCATGTTTAGGAAGGCCGTTCTCATTCCATGACTAGAGTGTGTCATAGAGTTCTTTAATCACTCTTTGTTCCACATTTAGATGAACCACTTGAAAGTAACTTTCACATATGGAAAGAATTGTATAGAGCAGGATAAATTTTTCCAATACTGTTAAACCACTGATGTGATATGTCACTTTTGTTACATATTTTCTTCATAGGTGTAACAGCATGAATATATATGTTCATGCATACATGTTAAAATGTTACAAAATTTATTAGAATTCTGTTAGGTAGAATCTGTAATTTATGGGCTCCTGACATCTGTATGATAATCAGTTTTACCATATAAAGGATATTTATTCATCTTCCTTTTCATCTTACATTAAATTTTCATCATTCTATTTCTATCTATAGTCATATGTGAATTGGTTACTAAATTAATTATAAGACTTCTGCAAAAGACTTCTTCCAAAAGACTTCTGCAGTCAGGAATTAATATTAAAAGATCTCAGATGAAAGGATCTGGGAGTGGTTTTAATGTTGGAGAAATGGAAAACACATGGCCTGCTGAAGGTATTCATATGTATTTTAAACTTGATGCATACACAATCAAACATGTTTGTGGGCCAGTTTATGAGTATTGACCCATAGTTTTGGTTTCTTCATTAGTTTTGAAATTTTAGTAATTTAACAACCTTTATTATTTTAAATGACATAGGTTTGATATAATTCATTCACCCAGATTTACAAAAGGTGTTCAAACTTAAACTTTATTTTATATTCTTCATTGGTTACTGATCAAGTTTTCCTTTTGATTTTGATTTTGCCTTTGTTAACATGTAGATGATGAATACATCTCAGTAAACTGTCTTATTAAAAATGACATTTTAGGCTAGGCACGGTAGCTAATGCCTGTAATCCCAGCACTTTGGGAGGCTGAGGTGGGCAGATTACCTGATGTCAGGAGTTAGAAACCAGCCTGGCCAACATGGCAAAACCCTGTCTCTACTTAAAATACAAAAAAAAGCTGGGCGCGGTGGCGCATGCCTGTAATCCCAGCTACTCAGGAGGCTGAGTTGGGAGAAGTGCTTGAATCCAGGAGGCAGAGGTTGCAGTGACCTGAGACTGCAACACTGCACTCTAGCCTGGGCAACAGAGCAAAACTCTGTCTAAAAAAAAAAAAAAAAAAACAAACAAACAAACAACAAAAAAAAACTTTTTAAATAAGACATTAGTTTCTTAGAACTGTTAAATATCTAGTGAATGCTGTGATAGAAGCCGCCATCTTACCCATCTTATATCATGGACTCTAATGTCAGTCCTACTGTATTAGATACCCTCCTTCCTCACCTACCTTTAGAAAAATTACTAGCATTCCTAATTAAAAAAAGTCTTCACAATCTCTCAGTCCTGAGCTGCTGCATCTCTTTTTATTTCTGAGATAATCATGGCTGAGATGATTGGGTCTTCTATGTATAGCATGGTTATCTTTCTACTTTACAGTAATATTTGAGTAATTACTTTATGCTAGGCACGCTGCTGAGCAATTTACATGCATTATTTCATTCTTCTATTAACTTTTGAGGTAGAAACATTATTATTCCCACAATATAAATAAGACTGAAGCTTACAAAGCACAAAATGTTGCCTCCAAATTAGAGGGCTAGAAAATGGAAGTGCAAAGATTGACGCCCAGATCTTTTTGATCCTAGATTATGTGTCTTAATCCTGGATAAGTATTCAGAGAATGAGATGGATAGTGACACAAGATAGGATGTTGGAAGGTAGCCTGGAAAAGGTATTAGAGGCTAGGTTTTTAGGCTATTTTGAGGAACATGTGCTTTAACTTAAAATCTATGAAATGTCACTGAGGAATTTTAATGAGGGAGAAATGAAATTAAACATATATATTTTGAAATACAAATTTGGCTGCATTGTGGACAGCTGACAGAGAATGGTGAATACAAGGAGACCAACTAAAAAGCTACTTGAATATCCCATGTCAAATATATTAATGTGCCTTGGACAAGGATGATGAAATGGAAATGAATTAAAGAGGTTAGATTCCAGACAAATTCAGGAGATGAAACCTACAGGTCTTGGCAACTGATTAGATGTGGAGGGAGAGGGGGAGGAAAGAGTCAAGAATGACTCCATAGTATGAATTCTCTCATGATGAGCAAGATGTGCACGCTGCCTGAAAGATTTCCTGCAATCTTTACATTCATAGGGTCTCTCTCCGGTATGAATTCTCTGATGTAGAGTAAGAGATCCACTGTAGCTAAAGGCTTTCCCACAAACATTACATTCATAAGGTTTCTCTCCAGTATGAATCCTCTGATGTTGAGCAAGGCCTGCATTCTGGCTAAATGTTTTCCTACATTCCTTACACATATAGGGTTTTTCTCCAGTATGACTTCTTTGATGTTGTGCAAGTGATGAACTATTGCTAAAGGCCTTCCCACATTCAATACATTCATAGGGTTTCTCTCCAGTATGAACCCTCTGATGTTGATCAAGGTATGCAATTTGGCTGAAGGCTTTCCTACATACTTTACATTCATAAGGTTTTTCTCCGGTATGAACTCTCTGATGTTGAGCAAGGTGTGCATACTGGCTGAAGGCTTTCCTACATTCCTTACATTCATAGGGTCTCTCTCCAGTATGAATTCTCTGATGTACAATTAGATATCCACGATGGCTAAAAGCTTTCCCACATACATTACACACATAAGGTTTCTCTCCTGTATGAATTCTCTGATGCTGAGCAAGAAATGAACCATTACTAAAGGCCTTTCCACATTCAATACATTCGAAAGGTCTCTCTCCAGTATGAACTCTCTGATGTTGAGTCAGGTGTGCAATCTGGCTGAAGGCTTTTTTACATTCTTTACACTGGTAAGGTTTCTCTCCAGTATGAACTCTCTGATGTTGGGCAAGGTGTGCATTCTGGCTGAAGGCTTTCCTACATTCTTTACATTCATAGGGTTTCTCCCCAGTATGTATTCTTTTATGTTGAGCCAAGTTTGCACTCTGGCTGAACGTTTTCCCACATTCAACACATGCATAGGGTTTCTCTCCAGTATGAATTCTCTGGTGAAGAGTAAGGGATGAGCTCTGGTTGAAGACTTTCTCACAGTCATTACATTTCAAAAGTTTCTTTTCCATATAGACTTTCCTTTGTTTCATTTCAACAGATTTTTTTCGGTAAACTTTCTTTTGTGCTTCATGCTTATGTTCTTTTTCTTTGGTGGGAAAACTCTGTTGTATATCAAAGACTGTATCCTGATGCAGTGTTTGCCAAGATTTGTCATATTCTTTACTTTGAACTTTTGGAAGGATTTCTTTATGAGTGATGATTAATTGACTAAGATGTACCTCTTGACTTCCCAACTGGTTCTTAAACCAGTCCTCACTTTGACAGTCTTCTCTCAAACTAGGGTAGTCAAAGGCATAACTAAGATGTCTTGTTTTCACTGTTACAGCTTTGGATGACTCTTCATATGCCTCTTGCTTTGATGAAAATTCACTGTTTTTAAATACATACTCCCAATCTAAAAGATATCAAGAAAGAAATGTCTTTTGTATTTATTCACTAGAAGAAATTTCTAAAACAAAAATGTGAATAAAATACATAAGTTCAAGGATTTAAAAGCCTATAATGCATTCTAAAATAATGACATTATAAATAAGAACTTAAGAGAGTTGATTAAGGAAATAATCATTGACAACCAGTAAGGTAAATATAAGAACAAAACAATTAAGTTGGTCATCTAAAATCACAATCATCTTTTTAAATCTAAGTTAATAACAGATTTCAAATGCCTTTCCTCTTTTGTCATAGGTTGTCTTACATTCAAGCTAAGTTATCTTTAGTAAGCCAGTTTTATGTTAATATGACTAAAAACCTCCATTGAAATCCCAGGCCTAAAAACAACACTAGGCAGAATTAATATCCTTATTAGGATACACATAAAACTTTATGATTCTTCATATTGTTCATAAAACTCTGTGGGTAAACATCCACAGTTAGAAAAAAAGTCTTCCTGAAAATGGTTTTCTATGTAATAAATTCATTCTAACCTGTATGTAAATTTTCAATTGATTCCTGAAGCTAAGATGCCTTTTAGTTTTGTATCAAACTTCTTGGTCTTACTAACCTAGTACAGAACTTAATCTGCCTTCCCCTGTCCAACTCCAAATCAGATCACTTCATTTTTCTGCTTCAGATTTTCCTCTAGTTTCTTACATTTATAATAAAACCAAAATTCCTACCATGGTTTATGACCTGGTGTTCTCTGAACTTATCTTCTACTACTCTCTTGCTTGCTTACTCCATTTTAGTCATATGGGAATTCACTTTATTTCCACTTTAAGAACACCAGACCTGCTGTTTCTCTGCCTGAAAAGCACTTTCCACAGATATCTGCTTAATCTGTTCTCTCATTGCACTTCTTCATTTGAGGTTCTGTTCGCATATTACCTACTTAGTATGGCCTCTCCTGAACAACCAATATAAAGTTTTACACACTCTTATGTTTCTCTTTCCTCCTGCTTTGCACTTCATAGCACTTAACTTATTTAATATCATATTATATGTTAACTTACTCTCTATTATCACTACAATGTAAGCTTTCACATGCAGGAACTTTTTTTCTCACCCTTGAATACCCATTGCCTAAAATAGCCTGGACAGATAGAAGGTGCTTAGTATCTTTAGAATAAATACTGAATCAGTAATATATAAAATACCACACTAATTCATCCTCTTACTAGAATGACATGCTTGCATGAATGGGGTAAATGTCTGAAATCACATGGAATATTACCACTAAACTTGACTATTATAGTGGATAGTGAGATTTGGAAGGAAAAGAATCTGAAGGCAACATACATAAATTGAGGCTGCTAACTCTGCTGTGCTGCCTCAATGCCCTTCTAAATTACACTTTCCTCTCTAAACAGCTGCAAATCACACTCATGAATGCCCTATAGAAAGTCAAGATGAAGATTCAATTCTGAAGACTTACCGGTAAAAAAGAAATATGAAATGACTGCCAAAGAGCACTGATCTAATTAAGCCCATAATTAAGTTGATAAACTATAATAAAGTAAAAACATATGTATAGTCATTGATAAATACTAATTCCCATTAGACTGAGAAGTGAAGGACAGATATTATAATCATTACTGGCATCACTCTTAGAGTGTATCAGAATTACAGAACTTGGCTATAATACAGCTTGCTATACCCCATGCACAGAGTTTTCGATTGAGTTAGTGGAGGTTGAGGGCTGAGAATCTTTTTTTCGAATAAGTTCCCAGGTGATGCTGCTGGTCTCAAGACCACATTTTGAGCACCATGCCCCTACAGCACCCACTAGAAGCATAATATTAAAAGGTACAACAAGTCAGCAGATAAATTAATATAGAATTATGAAAAATATTCAAATATCCCAGAAGATGGAAAAAGATGAGCAAATATTTTTTAATGACAAAGAGAAAACAATAGTGAACCCAACTCTAATTATAGAAATAATTAAATGTTAATGAACTGCTTATTCAGTTAAAAGGCAGTTTACAGGAATTGACAAAATGAAAGACACAATTATATGCTGTTTAATGCTAGCACTTTGGGAAGCCAAGGCAGGTGGATTGCCTGAGGTCAGGAGTTTAAGACAAATCTGGCCAACATGGCGAAACCCTGTCTCTACTAAAAATACAAAAAAAATTAGCCAGGTATGGTGGCGTGTGCCTGTAATCCCAGCTACTTGGAAGACTGAGGCAGGGGAATTGCTTGAATGGGGTGGGGGGAGGGGAGGTTGCAGTGAGCCAACATTGGCGCCACTGAACTCCAGCCTGGTGACAAAGCAAGACTCCATCCAAAGAAAACAAGAAAAAAAAAGAAAAGAAAACCCACATAACATACAAGAATACATTACAAATAAATAGTAAATAAAGATGTAACATGCAAACAGTAGGCATAAGACTAGACTGACTATATTCATATCAGATAAAATAGACTTTAAAAGTGAGTATTACCAAAGATAAAGAGACATATGGTAATAATAGGACCAATTCATCAGAAAGAAATAATCCTTAATGTATGTACACCTACATAAAGCCTCATAATACATAAAACATAAATTGAAAATTGAAAATGTAAGAAATATGTAATCCTGTAGTCATAATAGGTGACTAACACATGCTTTGCTCAGAAACTGACAAAAATAGGAAAAAATTATAACAAGGAGGATCTCAACAGGGTTAACGACTTTCATCTAATTTATATTTATACAAGGCTACACCCAACATCTGTACGACATGTGTTTGAGTGCACATGGTGTATTCAGTAAATAAGAGAGACCATATTCTGGGGCATAAACCAAGTCTCTATAAATTCAGAAGTACTGAAACTGAAGAGAATATGCTGTCTAACCTCAATAGAGGTTAGACGTTATTGATTTTTAAATCAATAATATCTAGTAAACTCCAAACATGAGAGAACTAAACAATACATTTCTATATAAATCATGGGTCAAAGAGTGTAACAAGAGAAATTAAAAAATATCTTGATTGATAATGAGAATACAACAAATCAACAGCTAAAATGGCACTTAAAGGAAAATCTACAGTTTTCAAATGCTTTTATTAGAAAACAATTAAAAGTCTAAAAATCCATCATCTAAGATGTCACCTCAAGAAACTAGGAAAAGACCAAAGTAAACTTAAGGAAAGTAGACAAAAGCAAAAAGTTAAGAAAGAAAATTAACAAATAGAAAAGAAACAACAGAGAAAATAAAACCCAAAGTAGGTTCTTTTAAAACATCAGTTAACAAGGAAAAAAGAACAGAAATCAGCAACACCAGAGGAGTTATCATTACACATCCTACAGCCATTTATTAAAAATGTTAATAAATTGGACAACTCAGATGAAACACAGAAATCTCTTGAAAGATACACCTACCAAAGCTGATTCAACAAAAATCAGATAACCTGAATAACTCTATATCTATTAAAGCTGTTATGTAAAAAATACTTCAGAGGCCGGGCGCGGTGGCTCAAGCCTGTAATCCCAGCACTTTGGGAGGTCGAGGCGGGTGGATCACGAGGTCGAGAGATAGAGACCATCCTGGTCAACATGGTGAAACCCCGTCTCTACTAAAAATACAAAACCCCCCCCCCAAAAAAAAAAAATTAGCTGGGCATGGTGGCGCGTGCCTGTAATCCCAGCTACTCAGGAGGCTGAGGCAGGAGAATTGCCTGAACCCAGGAGGCGGAGGTTGCGGTGAGCCGAGATCGCGCCATTGCACTCCAGCCTGGGTAACAAGAGCGAAAACTCCGTCTCAAAAAAAAAAACAAAAAAAAAAACAACTTCAGGCCCCTATGTCTTCATTGGTGAATTCTATCAAATATTTAAGGAATAAGTAATACCATTTTATCCAAACGGTGTCAGAAAATAGAAAAAGATAAAACACTTTCCAACTTATTTTCACAAGGCCAGCATTATCTTGATACTAAAGCCAGATAAAGAAATTATAAGAAAGTAAACCTGCAGACCAATGTACCACATGTACAAAAGGCAAAATCTTTAATTGTGCAAATAAAATCCAGGAAAATATGAATAGCATCATCTTGACCAAGTAGAGTTTATCCCCAAAATGCAAGATTGGGTTCACATTTGAAAATAAATCAGTGTATTTGTTTACATTGTGTTAAAAATAAAAAAAAGTCAGTGTCACTCACCATATTAAAAGATTAAAGAAAAAAAATCACATGATCATTTCCACAGATGTCGAAATAGTATCTGACCCATTTATTATAAAAATTCTCAGCAAACCAGGAAGAGAAAGGAATATTTTCAGACTGATCAAGGACACCTAAGAAAAACTTACAGCTTACACTGACTTAACAGTAAAAGATACAGTATATTCCCCCGTAAGATTGGAACAGCACTAGTACATCTCCTATTACCACTTCAATTACACATTATACAGGAGGTCCTGGTCATTGCAATACATCAAGAAGAAAAAGGTATAAATATCAGAAGGAAAAAACCCAACCGTATTTGTAGATGGCATGATTGTCCATCCAGAAAATCCTCATGGACCTACAAAATAACTGTGAGGGCAACTATTAAATGAATCTAGCAAGGTCGTAAGATGTAAAGCTAATATAAAAATCCATTTACATTTTTGCATACTAGTGGCAAACTATTAGAAAACTGGATTTTTTAAAATGCTATTTATTATAGTACTCAAAGAACTATTAAAGACTTAGGAAAAAAAATTTAAAAGACAGAGTACCACTACACTGGATACTGCAAAATATCCTTAAGATAAATTTTATTGGCCAGGCATAGTGGCTCACACCTGTAATCCCAGCACTTTGGGAGGCCGAGGCGGGAGACTTACAAGGTCAGGAGTTCGAGACCAGTCTGGCCAACATGGTGAAAACTTGTCTCTACTAAAAATACAAAAAATCAGTTGGGCGTAGTGACAGATGCCTGTAATCCCAGCTACTCGAGAGGCTGAGCCATGAGAATCACTTAAACCTGGGAGGCGGAGGTTGCAGTGAGTTGAGATGGCACCACTGCACTTCAGCCCAGGTGACAGAGTGAGACTCTGTCTCAAAAAAAAAAAAAAAAACAAAACATAAATTTTATTATTTTTCCATTTTCTTTTTCAGACAGAATCTTGCTATGTTTTTCAGGCTAGTCTCAAAGTCCTGGGTTCAAACAATCTTTCCTACTCAGCCACCCAAGTAGCTGACGTTACAGATGCACACCATCACACTCAACCTCGAGACATTTTTAAAGACTAAGAAATGGCTTAATAAACCATATTTATATTAGAAGACTCAATGTTAAGAGATCAGTTCTGTTTCAACTGATGTATGGAATCAATATAATCCCAACAAAAATCTTAAAGTTTTTCGAGTAGAAATTCTCAACTTCATTCTAAAATTTATATAAAATGCAAATGATCTAAAATAGTCAAGGCAATTTTGCAAATTGCATTATCTGATATCAAAAATTACTAGAAAGCTATAATAATCAAGGCAGTATGGAACTGGTGAGAGAACAGACATACAGATCAATTAAACAAAAGAGATTCCAGGCCTAGATGCACACATACGTGGTCAAGTGATGATCAGGAAAATTAGCAAGGTGATACAATTAGAAAGAGATGTCTTTCCTGAAAAAGTGTCTTGGGGCAACTGTATATCCATATGGAAAAAGCAAATGAACCTCAACCTTCACCTCACACAAGACACATAAAGTAGCTCAAACTCATTCACAGTGCTAAACGTAAAAGCTAAAACTTTAAAACTCCTAGAAAAATATCTTTGCTACTGACCTGGCAGTAGCAAGAATTTCTTAGATATAGCATAAAAAGCATCAACCAAGACAAATTAATAAATTGGATTTTACAAAATTTGCAAACCTTATCTCTGAGTTGGCAGTAGAAAAACAAAAAAGCAAGCCGTAATTGGCATACATATATGCCAATACATATAAATGACAACTTAAGACTACATACAGAACTCTTACAACTCATAAGGGAAACAATCCAATAAAACATGCAAAATATTTGAACAGATTTCATGAAACTTATATGCATGGCCAGGAAGCATACAAAAAGATGCTCAAGATTATCAGTCATCCCAGAAATGGATATTAAAACCATAATACAACCATTAGAATGACTAAAATTAAAAGTACTACTGACATTACCAAGATCTGGTGAGAATGTGGATTAACTGGAGGTCTCATATACTACTAGAAGGAGTGATATAATCCCTTCAGAAAACTCACAGTTTCTAACAGAGTTAAACATATACCTATCATATGACTCAGTTCTTCCATCTTAGGTGTTTACCCCCCACCCAGAAACATATATATGTTCACACAAAGTCCTGTACATGACAGCTGCACAGCAACTTTATTTATAATAGCCCAAAACTGGAAACAACCCAAATGTCCATCAACAGGTAAATGGACAAATGAAATGTTGCATTCATACATGCAACAATATGGATAAATTTCAAGATCATTATGCTGAGTGAAATAAGCCAGACATAACAAAATACATACTGTATGATTCCATTTACTTTAGATGCAAATTAAAATGACAAAGATTAGATTCATGTTTGTTTGGAACGGGGAGTGGAGAGTAAGATAGATGGAAAGAGACACAGGCAATCTTCTAGGGTGATAGAAATACTGAATGTGTCTGGATTGTGGTGACAGTTTCATGGGTGTATTCAAGTGTCATTAAACTGTACAATTTATATGTATCCAGTTTAGTATATGTAAATAATTCCTTAATAGTTTGATCAAATATAATAAAACCAGAAAACTCTCTTTTATACAACTGTGAGTGAAAGAAAAGTATTTTTAAAGTAACTATCCAGTATGAACAGCAGTCACAAAAACACTACGTATCAGAATCTACAGGAGATAGACAAAGATAAACTTAGAGGAAAATTCATGGTCCTTAGTAATCTCATTACTAAATAAAAGAATGAAATTAATAGATTAAGCTCTCATTTCAGCACTATGGAGATTAAAATAAATAAGAAAATTAAAAGGAAAGATGAGAAGAAAAAGTTTTATGAATTAGTAAGGAAAAAACAAAATTGGAAAACAATGATAATACTAATACATAAATCCATAAGCTATGTCTTTAAAAATAAACTGATTTATGAGTAGAGCAACCTAATAAATATATTCCTTTAAAAAAATAGTTATACAAAATAAGAAATTAAATATATTCTTTTTTTTTTTTTTTTTTTGAGATGGAGTTTCGCTCTTGTTACCCAGGCTGGAGTGCAATGGCGCGATCTCAGCTCATCGCAACCTCTGCCTCCTGGGTTCAGGCAATTCTCCTGCCTCAGCCTCCTGAGTAGCTGGGATTACAGGCATGCGCCACCATGCCCAGCTAATTTTTTGTATTTTTAGTAGAGACGGGGTTTCACCATGTTGACCAGGATGGTCTCGATCTCTTGACCTCGTGATCCACCCGCCTCGGCCTCCCAAAGTGCTGGGATTACAGGCTTGAGCCACCGCACCCAGCTATATTCTTTTTACAAAAGAATAGCTATACAAAATAAATTAAAATCGGAAACCATTATAGATAAAAAAACAAGAAAAATAATTATAGATTATTTTGCTCAAATAAATGAAATCTGATAACATAAATGAAAAGGACAAATATCTAGAAAAATTAAAATGCATAAAATTTAACCAAAGACAGGCTGGGTGCAGTGGTTCATGCTACATGTAATGCCAGCACTTTGGAAGGCCCAGGCGGGCAGATCATGAGTTCACAAGTCCAATACCATTCTGGCCAACATCATGAAACCTCATCTCTACTTAAATGACAGAAAAATTAGCTGGGCATGGTGGTGCATATCTATAATCCCAGCTACTTCGGAGGCTGAGGCAGGAGAATTGCTTGAACCTGGGAGGTGGATGTTGCAGTGCACCACTGCACTCCAGCCTGGGAAACAGGGCGAGATGCCATCTTAAATATATATATTTATTTATTTATATTTATATATATTTATAAACGAAGACCAACTATAGAGATGCCATTTACCATGGAGATAATGAGAAAAAATTTCACTTTCCCACAAAGGCCTCAGCATCAGGCTTCATCTCTCAAACCCTTAAGACCAGTGAACTCGTTCATTCACACTGACATCTCTAAATCAGACTATTTTTCTGAGCCCCTATCTGCTTAACCAGTTGCATGTTGCATTTCTTTGCTTGGAACTCTCCTTATCGCCTAAATATAACTCTCTTATGTCCACAGTCAAATTCATCATCTTTCCTCCTTTCAACCTATTCTGATAGTTTCTTTTTTTTTTTTGAGATGGAGTTTCACTCGTTACCCAGGCTGGAGTGCAATGGCGCCATCTCGGCTCACCGCAACTTCCGCCTCCTGGGTTCAGGCAATTCTCCTGCCTCAGCCTCCTGAGTAGCTGGGATTACAGGCACGTGCCACCATGCCCAGCTAATTTTTTGTATTTTTAGTAGAGACGGAGGTTCACCATGTTGACCAGGATGGTCTCGATCTCTTGACCTCATGATCCACCTGCCTCGGCCTCCCAAAGTGCTGGGATTACAGGTGTGAGCCACTGTGCCCGGCCTCTTCTGATTGTTTCTATTAAGTGTTATTATCTTCTAGCTATCCAGACTTGAAAATGAAATTGGCTTTCTTTTTTCTTTGCTGGTGTATAAGCCTCTGAATAATTCCAAGAATTTAGCAGAATGCTGTTCTCAAAACATAAAGTCAATGAGTCTTGGCAAAATAAATAAATAAATAAATGCATAAATCCTTCATTCTAAAAGGAATAAGTAATTGAGAAAGAAAAAAAAAACCCGAAACCCTGGCTTTTTTTTTTTTTTTTTTTTTTTTTTTTTGAGACAGGGTCTTGCTCTGTTGCCCAGGCTGCAGTGCAGTGGCACAATCTCAGATCACTGTAACCTCCACCTCAGGTGATCCTCCCCACTCAGCCTCTCACATAGATGAGATTACAGGCACATGCCACCAGGCCTGGATAATTTTTTTTTTCTTTTTGTATTTTTAGTTTTGACATGTTGCCCAGGCTGGTCTTGAACTCTTCAGCTCAAGTGATCCACCCACCTTGGCTTCCCAAAGAGCTGGGACTATAGGTACCTGGATTTTTGAAAAATGAAATGAAGCAACTTGTATAAAACTAAAAGGCAAGGACAAGGAGAGGCTGTGACATTTGGATCCAAGAATAGGAAAATGGGTTATCAGAGAAGACAGTAACTTGTGAGAGAATATAGACAGAACAAATTGAGGAGGTCATGCTAAAGATGCCTTAATATTTCTTCCTAGGTCTTGAGTCTCTAAGAAAAGCTACCTAGGAAACGTCAATTATGATCTGAAACCTTGCCGAATGGCTGAGCTTTTCCTGGCAATGGCTTCTATCTCCCTATTTCTCTCTTACTCACCAGGGCATACACCTCTTGTTGCCTCCTTCTTCACCATCCAGGGCTCTTTTCCTTGCTCCAATAATGAGATCACATCTGGCTTAGAAACAGAAACTCCTGCTTACAAGAAATAAAATGGGAATTAGGCACATCTATGAATAAGATCAAGTTTCTGCTTCATCAAGAAGGTGGGAGCATAATGGAAGGGAGCCGAGGAATAAGAATGGGGAAGGTAAAGCTGCCAGTTCTACAAATTCAACCTATTTTGGGAAGCACATGAAAGGGAAATTTAGTGAAGCACATCAGATGTTTCTCAAACATTACACTGGAGCTCAGTCCCATGTACAGATTCTGAATTATGGGGAGACTTTCTTACCTAATGATACCAAGGTCCTATAGTTCTCCAACATCACTTTCCTATACAAATTCCTCTGAGCAGGGTTTAGCCATTCCCATTCCTCTTGAGAGAAATTTACAGCCACATCCCCAAATGTCACCAAATCCTGAAATGACATAAACACATCCTTACTCAACTAGTGTTCATATCCTCCCATGAGCCTAGGTTAAAGAGTTACATTGTCGGCTGGGTGTATGGCTCAGGCCTGTAATCCCAGCACTTTGGGAGGCCAAGGCAAGCAGATCACAAGGTCAGGAGCTCGGTACCATCTTGGCTAACATGGTGAAACCCTGTCTCTACTAAAAATACAAAAACTTAGCTGGGCGTAGTGGCATGGGGCTATAGTCTCAGCTACTTGGAAGTAAGCAGAGGTCGTGCCACTGCACTCCAGCCTGGGTAACAGAGTGATACTCTGTCTCAAAAAAAAAAAAAAAAAAAAGAGGCTTAAGTTGTCTATACTTTTAGAAATATTGCACATAGCAAAACTTTCTGACAGTATCTTAGCTTTTGAGCAACACATGTAATTGCTCGATGACTTCTTTGTGGTTTTGATATTCTATCATGGAAAGTATACAATTTGAGAAATAATCTTACTGGTGGAGAAAGGATTTATAACACACAAAACTGGACAATAACAGAACACTGTAAATCAAGTATAAAATATGTTATACTAAATGCCAGAGTACTTATCAATATTGGAAAACCAGATGCACTGGGGCAGTAAGGAACTTCAAGGAAACAGGCAGAGTTAAGCTTTATAAGGTGTACATGGTTGAACCTGGCATTTTCCCAAACTTTGTACAATGTAATGGTCAATTTTCCAGAGAATCAATAGGGCTGTATAAAAATATATATAATTATGTTTGATGCTTATAACATTGACTTTCTAAAATTAAATAAATGTGTAATAGAAAAAGTAAACAAACTTTTATACTGACTTGCAAAAATATGGCTTAAATGTATACCATAACAGAGAGCAATCAAGAAGCTGAGTGACAGATCACCTGATGTGAGAAAATATGCCACTGAATCTGTGCTTGGTGGCAAAGACAACATTTCCCAATCAGCTGTCAAAGTGATGCATCTCATCTCACTGATGACATCAGGTATCTCACATATTTTTTACATTTCATATTACACATTTCACAATGACAACCTAGGTCTTGTGTGTGTTGTATTTTAAATATTTGTTTTAACAAACTCCTCCCCTCTGGATGGTTTAAATGAATGGAAGGCATACGGTTTAGATGACTAGCAGCTTGATGTCACAAAAGGTATCTGAATCAGGCCAGGTGTGGTGGTGCATGCCTATAGTCCCAGGTATTAGGCAGAGGCTTAGGCAGGAGGACTGCCTTGGATGCTTGAGTCTGGCCTGGGCAATATAGCAAAGAACCTATTTCTAAAAATAAACAAACAAAAAGGTATGTGAATCAAAACAAGAAAAAGAGTCACAGATAAAATGAAGTTGATCTCAAAGACTGTGACTTCTAATGTCTTGAGAAGAAGAGTAACATTATAATAAATGTTTGAATCTGTATAATCAGTACTCTATAAGAAGGAATCAAAGAAGTATAATAAAAGTTATTTCAATTTGGGACAAATTTCCGTTGGAAATAAAATTTTTCCTGAGACTGTGTGGAAGGGGCAGCAAATGATTGCCTAACAGCTCTTAATAACCCACTCAGTTGTAAAGATAGCTGGTCACTTATAATCATGCTAGGTAAGAGACAAAATAATAGTAATTTAAGCACTATTAACTTTCTTAACTAGTGAACATCTCCAAGTCTGATAATAAAATGCATCAAAAAATACCTACAGTACTCACTAGAGAAACATACACAACTGTGTCTGATGAGCAAGAGAGTTTTTTAAATGTTACAATAGAGCTCTCAAATAATACTACTGCATGTTGAATTAAGGATCTTTAAGATAACATGGAACAAGACCTAGTTTGCTCCCTAGAAATTAAAAATGGGTCTTCTTCCTAACAGGATAATCAACTCAAGACTTATCAGGGCTTGCTGTATGGTTAGGCATATGTGTCTTAGTTTTGACATGTTATAGAGCAAAGCCTGCTCTTAAGTTGGGTTGACATACAGATGGCATTCAGTGGTACACACCTGAACAGCTGTACTGATTTCTTAAATACTGAAATATTGCCACATTCATTGGTAAACAGCTACTGGACTGAGTGATGCTAGTGACCACACCAGATTTCCCCACAAGGAATTCAGCAACTGAAGCTTAAATGCCCAGCATGGCAGCAAACTCCAGGATCCCAGCTAGGATAAGTTCTGCTGTGTGCCTTTGCCTTGTTGGTTGTCAAACATGATATAAAGAAAGCAAAAGTATGGCTCCAGGAAACATCAATTATATGTATCAGCTGTTTAAAAAGCTTCCATCTCTGACACACACCTTTTTTTTTTTTTTTCGAGGCAGAGTGTCGCTCTTGTTACCCAGGCTGGAGTGCAATGGCGCGATCTCGGCTCACCGCAACCTCCGCCTCCTGGGTTCAAGCAATTCTCCTGCCTCAGCCTCCTGAGTAGCTGGGACTACAGGCACGCACCACCATGCCCAGCTAATTTTTTGTATTTTTAGTAGAGATGGGGTTTCACCACGTTGACCAGGATGGTCTCGATCTCTCGACCTCGTGATCCACCCGCCTCGGCCTCCCAAAGTGCTGGGATTACAGGCTAGAGCCACCGCGCCCGGCCTCTGACACACTTCTTAATACAAGGAAATCTGAGGAAGTGACTTGTGGATTCAAAGAAGGAAAGGAATGTGAATCAGGTCTAAAAATTTAAACCTGTGCAGGATAGAACTGGGCACTGCTTATCATCAATTCTACTGAAACTCAAACACTTCAATGCAAACTCTTTAAAATTTTATGCAGGAAAGTGTTCCACACACATCATTTATTCTATAGACATTAGTGAAGTAGCTTTTGCTTCACAAAGTCCGTAAAAGACATTTTTTAGCTGCACACATGAACCAATGGATTCTGTGTTTTACCTATCTGACATTTTCCTCTCAGCCAATGAGACCATGAATACCTCGCAAATGTTTTTTATATTTATTTTGATTTAATTTAAAAAATTGCCATCATTAAAGAAACTTATAATATCCAGCATTTCTTCCTTCTTTTTTTTTTTCATTTCCCCCTACTTTTTTTTTTTTTTTAATTTTAGGGGAGACAGGATCTTGCTGTCACTGAGGCTGGAGTGCAGTGTTACAATCATGGCTGACTGCAGTCTCAACTTCCAGGCTTGAATGATCCTCCCAACCTTGGCCTCTCAAGTAGCTGGCACCAAAGGTACTCGCCACCATGCCCAGGTAATTTTTTTAATATTTGATACACATGATGTCTCACTATGTTGCCCAGGCAGATCTCAAACTCCTGGGCTCAAGCAGTCCTCCTGCCTTGCCCTCCCCAATTGCTAGGATGCTGGGATTACAGGTGTGAGCCACCTCATCCAGCCAATTTTTTTCCCTATTTAAGTTAAAGAATTGGAAGTCTTTCATTCCCATGCCTACTCACTCCTGTGTCACCCTGCCTCCTAAAAGCAATTATAATTTACAGTTAGCATAATCTGTTCAAATGGTTCCTTATGTCTATCATTATATATTCACTTACCTATAAATCACTTCTATTGGCTGAGTAATATTCCATGGTATAATTATGCCCTATCATATTTACTAACTCCCATGCTTATTTTCAGCTGAGTAAATCTTCATTTTTTTACTATAATGTTGCATAGGTCTTGAATTATTTTCTTAAAATTGATTCACAGAAGTTGTTCTTTCCATTGAGACTAGGATTTCACAAAAGTACTTAATCTCAAAAAATGTTTTAATTGCACTACTTTGACCCAGCAACAATAGAGTCAAATTGTTTTTGAAAAAACAATTCAGGGTGGAAGTAAAGTGTTGGCTTACACTTGAAGACATACTAATAAGAGTTCTTCAGGTAGAAGTAAAATGGAAGCATGAAAACATAGGAACGAATTAAGAGTTCTAAAGCAGTAACTATAAATAGAGCAATAATAATATTGTGGAGTTAAATCACCATAGGCATCTTATTCTGTTGAGGAAGTGATAAGGGTACTAATCATAGGAGGAAGATTACAGAAGAAAGAAAAATTACTACTTATGAGTAATGGATGAATATTATCAAGCCTCCTGTCTTGCCTTTTTTTCAAACCTAAGTCTGTGGAAAAGCTTTATTTATGCTAGTGGTTACATCTGAACATGTACCTCAATCTCAGTGAATCAACTTACTACAATGAAGGTGTTCATAGGCCAGTGAGTGTATTTTGCCTCTTGAGAGCGTCTAACAGAACACTAAACCCAGAGGAGGTGCTGAACTATTTCCTGAATGAAGATAAACATGCTGGCTGTGGAAAAAAAGATAACTAGTCTTTTAGGGACTTATTTTTACTGGAAAGCAAGATATGAGAAATCAGTCACTGGATGAATGGAACCTTGTTAGGCTGGAGAATTCTGGAAGAAAAACAAAATGTTCTTATAACCTAAAAAAATAAGATGACATTTTAGGGAAGAGAGAACAAATGCTTCCTTACCTTGGACATGGCTTTAAGGACTCAAGAATTTGACAGTTCTTCTGTCCTTCTCCTTTAGGTTCCTCTCTGGGAGAGGGACAGTAACCTGAGAATGGAGAGCTAGAGAAGGAAAAGAAACCATAAAATGCCAGGCCTGCCCTGCAGCTCCCAGCATCAACAGCCCAGAAACCTTTCCTTCTCATTTTCCTTCTTTCTCCAACCTCAGGAAAAACTAGAGGTATCACCAAGTAAGTCGTTTATATCTAAATTTACAATTCTTTTACCCACATGCTTGGGATCTTAAGAATACAATATACATGTTCTGTGCATAAGTTACCTCCTCATATATAATTTAAAACAAAAACAGCAATTACAGAATGGCATTACCAAGCAAGGATTTCCCCCTCTTTCACACATGAAGGCTCTTCTTGGGAGTAATTATCCAAGGCATCATGGTAATACGTAATTAAGCCAAACTGGAAACCAGGTCTAATTTTTAAGTCCACCTGATCATGATGTTGAAAGGAAATATGTGCCCACCCTTTCTGCAAGGATGAAAGACAACGCTACAAAGTGAAATGTCTCAGAGAAAGCATCTCTATACACAGAGTGAGTACCAGAGGGGCTATACGGTGTGGTGGACACTCCATCAAAGAGTCAGGACACCCTACTTCAGGTCCTAGCTTATGAAAACCCGCACCTGAAAACTACTAGTCTCTTGAGTTTTCTGAGCAATTTCCTCAGAGAGAAATAAGGAGAGAGGGAAGGAGAGGCAGGCTGTGCATGAACAGTCATCCAAATCCCCTATCAGGAATTCTTGTCCACCACACCTCACTGCCTTGAAGAATAAAGCAGCATAACTTAGTGGTAAGAACCACCAGACTTAAGGCTCGGAACACCTGGTCCCAAACAGCCAAACCGCTACATGCTACCTTTGGCAAGTTTGCTCACCATTCCAAACCTGATTCCCTATCACTGAAATGGTAACTATTCCCTATCAGTTGTTGGGAGGATTCTGAAATGATTTACATAAAGCATTTAGCCCAGTGCTTGGCACATCTTTGTTAAATAAATTTTCACCTTTCTGTCATTTATTTTTATAAATAGCACATCGTAGCTCTCCCATTCCTCTTTCCTCTTAAATTCCTCACACGCCCCCAGAGACTGAGAGGGATGGAACGACTACTGTGCCAGAGGAGCCGCAGCCGGCATGGTCGGCTTTACAGGCCTGAGGCTGGGTTCCTGTCTCTCCCTTTCCAGCTCTCTTCCCCTCTCCTTTCTCCATCTTTTCCCTTCCTCTCAATCTCTCTGTCTCTCCACCACAACAGCAGTCTCCCAAATCCCAAAGCACACCAGCATCTCCAAGCACCCACACAGCTTCCTGTGCACACAAATCACAGGCAACAAACCACACAGTCTCTCATTCTGGCACCTCTCCTGGCAACCTATGGACATGGCCCCACATTGGAGCCTGCCCTGGTCTCACAATGGGTCATAAAGACCACTCTGAGTCACACTGTCACACTGATTGTCTGGATGACACACAGTGCTGTCCCATAATCCCCCTCCATCTCACATAATCACACACTGTCATGCACAATCCAAACACTGTCACAAGTCCAACAACACAAACTGTTCATATAAAAGTTTCACATACAGTGACAGTCTCACACACCGTCACACAAATTATCAAACACTGTTGCAGTTTCACATAGTCCCACACCAATGGCCACACACTGTACCACACACGGTGACATGGTCTCACATACTGTCACAGTCTCACATGATACTACACACATGGCCAAAATCTGCTCACAAAGTCACACACACTGTCACACAGTCTTACATGATCCCCCCACACAGGTCAAACACACAGTAACATGGTCTTACACACTGTTCACACATGGTCTACACATAGTGACAGTCTAACACTGTCACACATTCTCAGTCTCACACATGGTGATGTGGTCTTAAACACACACAGTGTCACACAGTCCCACACACTGTTAAAGGCTCCTGCATAGACAGGCAACAGTCACACACAGTCACATCCTCACACCGAGTCTCACATTGTCACACACAGGACATTTGTTCCATAGGGTGTCACACTGACACACGATCTCATACACATTCTCACACTGTCACACACGGTCTCACATTGTCACACACGGTACTGTCACACACTGTCACACATGGTCCCACACATGGTAGCATGGCCGCTGCCGGCGTCCGCTCCATCCCGCGCTCCTCACCGCCTCCTCCCTCCAGTGGGCACCTCCTTCGGCGCGGTCCTTGGGGGCCGGGGCTGGGCCAAGGCCCGGGCCAGGACTCGATCCTGGCTGCCGGCCGCGCTCACAAAGGCGCCTGAGCGCTCGGGTAGGCCGCAGTGGCCGCTGGGAAATGGAGTCCGGGGCCGGTGCGGCGCAGAGGATGCTGGGATGGTGGTTGAGGGTTCCGGGCGGCCGCAGGCCCGGCCGCTCAGTCCGGGTAGTTTCTGCTGCGCCCCCACCTCTAGTAATTCCACCCCCGCTGGCCTTCAGAACCCCACCCGGACGAGCTAAGCCCTCTCAGGCCGTGGGCTCATCCACCAGTTCCGCCCGAGGCCTGGGCGGGCCCGCTCTGACTGCGCAGGCGCAGCCTGCTCGGGTCCCCAAAGGCTGCGAAGCCGGGGTGCTGGCACCGTGACGCGCACGCGCAGTGACCGAGCCCGCGCTGGAGCGCTCGGGTAAGTCTGCGAGCCCAGCACTGAGAAAAGGGAGCTGAGGACCAGTGTGGGGCCTGAGCCAGCTGGCGAGGGTACCGGTACGTCGTACGGGTGATCAAGCGCTCCCGCGGCGCGGCCGTCCTCTTTCCTTTCCCTTTCTGTTTCGTCTCTCTGCGCCTCGCCCTGTGTTTCATTTGCCATTTATTGAGCACCTACCCTGTGGGTCACTCTCCTCGGCCCTGGGCACACAGCAGTACGCAAGCAGACAAAATCCCCACCTCATGGAGCAGCATTCTGATGCGGGGATAATTCGATAGGAAAAAATTAGTAATTAAGGGGGCCGGGCGCGGTGGCTCAAGCCTGTAATCCCAGCACTTTGGGAGGCCGAGGCGGGTGGATCACGAGGTCAAGAGATCGAGACCATCCTGGTCAACATGGTGAAACCCCGTCTCTACTGAAAACACAAAAAATTAGCTGGGCATGGTGGCGCGTGCCTGTAATTCCAGCTACTCGGGAGGCTGAGGCAGGAGAATTGCCTGAACCCAGGAGGCGGAGGTTGCGGTGAGCCGAGATCGCGCCATTGCACTCCAGCCTGGGTAACAAGAGCGAAACTCCGTCTCAAAAAAAAAAAAAAAAAAAAGAGGGAGGGACTGATGCATGTTGGGAAGTAATGCATATTATCAAGAAAAGCGAAGCAGAGTATTAAGATCATTCTTTCAGTTCTTCATTCTTTGGGTTATGCCCTCTGAATCAGTGGAAAAAACACAAAGTGCATTTTTTTTAATTCTCTCAACGACAACTAATCATAACAGAAGACTTCTGTGACCAAACATGGAGGAGTTTCCCACACATACAAAGCGAGCAGTGGGTTCTGCAGCGGACTTCAGCTGGGTGCCCTCCAGTTCAGTTCCCACGCTGTCTACTTGGAGATGGGTCGGACACCATTCGCTGAGGCTTCAGTCCCCAGGCCTGCCTCCTGCTTCCCACTGTCACAAGGCCAGCCTCTGGAACTTCTGACCCCACCAGCTTCAAGTTGGGACTTTCACCACCCCCTCTTACGGTTCAGTATTTTGCTAGAATGGCTCACAGAGCTCAGGGAAATACTTATGTTTACTGCTTTATTTTAAAGGATATTACAAAGGATATAGATGAAGACATGCATAGGGCAACGTACGGAAGAAAGGGTGTTGCACCTTCCAGCAATCTCCACGTGTTCTGTGGTGTGGAAGGTCTCCAAACCCTGTCTTTTGGGAGTTTCACAGCAGCTTCATTGCACATGCATGGTTGATTAAACCAGTAACCCTCAATCCCCTCCCCTCCCTGGAGGTTGGGGGTGGGTTCAAAGTCCCAACCTTCTAGTCAAGCAGTGATCTTTTCCATCACCAGTCCCCATCCTGAAACTGCACAGGAGTTACCAACTGTCAGTCAACTTGTTAGCACACACAGAGTTTTTACTCTTATTTTGCAGTTTCTAAGGATTTTAGGAGTTCTATGCTAGGAAATAGGATGAAGATCAAATATATATTTCACAATATCGTACTCATTCCTTCTCTTCGACCTGTCTTTGGAAATATTTTATAAACTCCTATGTCTAGCTCTATCTCCCAATTCTGAACCACCCCTTCTAAAATCCTGTTATACCCTTCAATTCCTTCATTTAATTGTCTGAGCAAAGTTGCCATGACAAAGAGCATCATACAAGCTGGGAATTTTATCTTTAGGAAATAAAAAAAAATGCAACTATGATATTAGCAACAAATATTAATTGGAACATTGTTTATAATAAAATGTTGAACATAATATGGCTATGGTCTCAGGTAGCAAGTAGCTAGGGCCTGTTATCAAAGGCAGTAAAGAAGACAGTCTCATATTTACCAAGACAATCATAGGTAAAGAAAGGCAGATTTATTAGAGAAAGTATGAAAATACGTTGCAAGGTTGCAACTGGCAGCACAGCAGAGAAGGAGCTGTCTGCAAAGAGGCAAGAGTTGGAAGGAAGTTTTATAGGGTCAGGCTGGAGGAAGCTACGAAGAATGAGGTCATTGTGACCTCAGGTTGTTTGATTAGCCATACTCTCAGAACAATTGTTCATTGTTCTTCCCCACCCGGAGCCCCTTCCTCATGGTTGTTTACTTATCAGGACTCCACATCTACAAGAATGGTCAAATAAATAGCAGTAAGTTCTAAACCAAAAGGTATCAGAGACAGGTGTCAATCAGTTTAAAAAGTTTATTTTCCCGTGGTTAAGGAAGCACTCATGACAGAGCCTCAGGAAGTTCTGATGACGTGTCCGAGGTGGTTGGAGTACAGCTTGCTTTTATACATTTTACGGAGACATGAGAAATCAACATGTGTAAGATGTACATTGGTTCAGTCAGGTAAGGTGGAAGAATCTGAGGTGGGGGCTTCCAGGTCAAAAGTAGATATGGGACAAAGGGTTTCATTCTTTTGACTTGATTAGCTTTCCACTGAATACACAATTTAGTCTGGCTCCGTGAATCTGCATTTTTACATAAAAAATAGGTCTGAGGGCCGGGCGCGGTGGCTCAAGCCTGTAATCCCAGCACTTTGGGAGGCCGAGGCGGGTGGATCACGAGGTCGAGAGATCGAGACCATCCTGGTCAACAAGGTGAAACCCTGTCTCTACTAAAAATACAAAAAGTTAGCTGGGCATGGTGGTGCGTGCCTGTAATCCCAGCTACTTAGGAGGCTGAGGCAGGAGAATTGCCTGAGCCCAGGAGGCGGAGGTTGCGGTGAGCCGAGATCGCGCCATTGCACTCCAGCCTGGGTAACAAGAGCGAAACTCCGTCTCAAAAAAAAAAAAAAAAAAAATAGGTCTGAGGAAGCAATCAGATTTCTGTCCTTTGTCCAAAAGGAATTTCCTTGTGAGCAAATTGTGAGGGAAGTATGTAGCTTTTTATCTTTATAGCTATCTTATTTAGGAATCAAATGGGAGGCAGGTTTGTCAGATATAGTTCCCAGCCTGACTTTCCCCTTGGCTTAGTGATTTTGGGGTCGTGAGATTTATTTTCCTTTCACATCTAGCTGATTGAAAACTATACAACTTTTTTTTTTTTTTTTTTTTTTTGAGACGGAGTTTCACTCTTGTTACCCAGGCTGGCGTGCAATGGCGCGGTCTCAGCTCACTGCAACCTCCCTCTCCTGGGTTCAGGCAATTCTCCTGCCTCAGCCTCCTGAGTAGCTGGGATTACAGGCACGGGCCACCATGCCCAGCTAATTTTTTGTATTTTTAGTAGAGACGGGGTTTCACCATGTTGACCAGGATGGTCTCGATCTCTTGACCTCGTGATCCACCTGCCTTGGCCTCCCAAAGTGCCGGGATTACAGGCATGAGCCACTGCGCCCGGCCTCTATACAACTTTTAAAAAGAATAATCTCATGGCAATGAAGCAACATGTGAAAATACTTCTTGAGTTAAGGTTTCTTAAAGGAGGAACAAAGCTGTTAAAACTGCATTATGACTGCAACATTGGAAAACTGTTCCTATGAATAAAAAGCAAAAGGAACACAATCTACAAAAAATTGTAGTTGGATTGTGTTTGAATGTTGAAATTATGGTATCTTCCCCTCACTTTTTCAAACCAGACAGACAAGCCTTGTTTAAGATAAGGCATCAGTAAACTTCAGGTTTTTACAGTTTTTTCGACATTTCACAAATGTGTGAATGAAAAGAGTATGCATCTTTGTGAAACCACATTTGCAAAAACTCTTTATCAATGAGAAAATCTGACAGTAAACTGAGCTGACCCCATCTATCTTGCCTTTCTCTTAATTACTCTTGGGCTATAGGGCTGAGCTAACTTTGGAAGACTTTTAGGCTGTAGTTTAAATAACAGGCCTTGGCCAAAACTCAATTGTTTTTGTAAAGCTAATGGGAGGCCATCAGGCTGGGAGGAGGAGAGGAGGCTGCATCCTGTTATGGTGGCACAGACATGAACAACTGTCAGCCATTATTCCAAAGTTTATAAGATAGGCAACTTCCCCAATTACTACTGCAAATACCATCACTACTGTAGAACCTCAGACTGACCTTTGGAGATACCTTTTCAGGTTTTTTCATGTCTGACACCCATGGCTCCACCTGGACTAACCAACCCAGCTCCTGTGGCACCACCAAGAAGCAATTCAGCCTGCGTGAGGGCAGCTTTGACCCCCTATGATTTCATCTCCACCCCAACCAATCTGCAGCAAGCACCTGTTTTCAGGCCGCTCCCACCCCTTTCCCCAAACTGACTTTGAAAAACCTCTAATCTAAGAGTTTTGGATGAGATGATTCGAGTACGAACTCTATTTCCCATGTGGCATGGCCACCCTCGTGTCTATTAGACACTTTTTCTACTCAATGTCATGGTCCTTCTTTTTGCAGTAGGCAGGAAGAACCCCTTGGGCGGTGTTTACATTTAACCCAGAAAGCTGGATGGTAACATTTTTTTGTTTTGGGCCATTATCACTTAAGCGTCTCCTTTTGGCAGAACCTTCTACAAAGCTTGGTGAGAGTCACTAAGTAAACTTTGATTTGCATAAAAACAACATTTATTCTTTGTCTCAGGTGAGCAGCAACTATTTGGGCTGGTGGCACAGAGGTTATAGAACTTACCAAGACAGTTGTGGGTAAAGAAAGGCAGATTTATTAAAGACAGTATGAAAATATGTTG